TGTTTAGTGACACATATCACATTTCATGGAAAAATACTTTTAAATCACATATTTGAATAATTTGGGGGGTTCAGGATATTTGTAAAATGGTAAAATCCTTTAAAAAGATATCAGGTGTGTGCATATGTGTATAGTAAGTTTAAACAACCAACCATAAAAGGAACAAAATGACCAACTAATATTTCCGAAAACATCTTCAAATATCAAAATATAACGCAAACCATATGTCTCTCATGACTTTGTCTTTCATTCAAACCATAATTATCACTGTACAAACCATATTATATTCCATAAATAGTTGTGCTGTGGTGTATTGTATTGTAGGCATTCATACAGGTGTTTATGATATCATGTCCTTATTCTGAGATCATTTGTTGAATGTTAAAATAACTTGCCTTCCATAGCTTTTTTTTAAAGAACTGCACAACATGTTGTTACAATGAGGACATGCAAATTTTATACTAATCAGATTTCATAAACCACATTTGGCATCATTAGCTGCACTGGGAGAACAATTCTCTACCAAAACTGCTGGAAAAGACAAGCAACAAGAATTTGGCAAAGGAGCCAAACTATCTTCCTTCCTCTGCCAGGGAGGAGATACACAGGGGTTACACACAAACACAGGGGTTACACACAAACACACTCACAGACACACACACATTCCCCGCTATCTATGTGGAGATATATCTTGAACACACACACACACGCAGAGTCTCAAAGGAGTGATGAAATAGATGAGAAGAGGATCCACGGTGAGCCTGGAGGACTGGATAAATATTGACCTGAATGAATGAGGTCTGTCACAGTACATAAAAAGGGCTATACACTCACACACACTGTCTCACCAACATCCATGCCCTCTCTGTCTGTAAACTATACCTGCACATCGTCACTGTTGAGCCGTATATTTTAACAAAGCCTGGAATCAATATTAATATTTATGGAGAAACTGAGATTGAGCTTCACTGGAAGAAGTATAGCCTAAATAATGAATTAAGTGCATTTCTTCTTTTCTATGTGTATGTTGGAAATTCAGGGCCCCTTCACCCCCCAAAAAATGCTGAAATACTGCAAAAAAAGTTTTTACCTGAGAGGGAATAGCTTGGTATGAATAAAAAGGCATATGGTAACGTCTGAGGGAAATGACTTCTAATAAACAATGACATTGCCAGATCTGATTCTGCTTTTTCTTCTGTAAATGCAACAGTGTTATATAGCTGCCAACTTACAGTTAGTCTGTAGCCAACTAGAAATCCAAGAATAATGGATAAAAAAAAAAAGACAAAAGTGTCTGACAAAAACGCTACACAGCATGTGTAAAATTAAATAAATGTGTTAATTGAAAGCAGCAAAGTAAAATGCAGTTTCTAAAAAACAAGATGTGCTGGTTTTCTTTTTCTTTTCTTGTTATGTCCTTTTGAGAGTATCCAAGTAACAGTACACAAATATCCAAAATCTACTAAACAATTGTTGGTTATGGAGATTATGTATTCCCCTCTAAATTTAAGACACAGTTGAGCGAATCATGGATGAAGGATGTAGACTATATCGCAGTTCAGGTCAAGCACTGCACACACAGGGCGAGGTCTGAGACATTTAAATCAGCTGAGAAGAGTCAGATGTGGCCAACAATGTTTAAGTGTGATAAAAGTAAAATCCACCTTTATTAAATATGTAAATGGTTTGGGGGAGCCAGAATTGAGTCAATGGTTAAACTAAATGATGCAACTCTAAGAAACAAGAAGGGAGAAGCACTTTAGTTTCATATTCATCTGTCAAGAGGGGATAAACATAACCCAGTATTTATAGAAAACTGACAACAGCAGAAACACTACATCCTGACTTGACATGAAATTGAGAAATAAGTGACTGGGCACCATCAAGTGGGCACAATTCTTCTGTAGATAACAACCTGCTTCTATGGGAAGAGTTAAAAACATGACCTGCAGTATCCAGCATGGCAAACAATAGCAGTTTATATAGCAGTATCCACCTTTTACTAAAAACCTCTCCACTGTCAAATCAGCATTGGCTTTTAATAAACTCTAACAAAAAAGATATATACTGATCAGTATTGAGTGTATTAATCTATGTGCTTATGTGCATTGAACATACAGGCATTCTCTCTCATCTACTTCAAATCCACAGTGTTTACAGTAGCCTAGCCACCGGTTACTCAGTGCTTTGGATAGACTGGTAACAGACAGAGCTGAGGAGGTTAATAGGACAGAGAAGTTGTAATTGATGATTTTACATGAAACTGTGTGAACTGTTTTTAGTTCCAGTACCAGTTCACTGATCCGACACCTTTCCGTGCCCTGAGTCAACACAAAGAGCTTCTACAAATTGATTTTGGCTGGAAGTAAGAGCTACAACTGGGATAGTCTGAGTAAGACACATACAAGTTTGTACTTGTATGTGTCACTCGTTGATAGTTTTTTTCGCCCCACAACTACCCGCAGCTTTTACTACGTGCCTAACCCCAAACTTTACTCTAAAATGACCTGTTAACTTTGTGTGCCCCTATTTCTTTGAATGTCATACATCAAACATTTCAGTCTAATGAAATAAGAATTTGCTGATAAACTGAATGAATCACTGGCTTCTCATGCCCTGGCTGAACCAATTATTTTCCCCTGCTGCTTTTGTAATCACCCAGTCTCATGTCTGCTTGCTAAGGCACACACATACTCCCTTTCTGCAACCTGATCATGAAATTACAGTTTTCTCACAGCACTCCATGTATCCATTTGAGTGTTTTTAATTTATTAATTACCCATTATCAGGCACTGCTGTAACACAACATCGACTATTATCTCTATAAAAAGGCAATAATGTTCAGGAAGTAAGGAGGAGCAGGTCATGTAGTGACACCATAACCATGTGTTTATGAAGTTGAACTCTGAACGTCGACACTGAGAATTAATGGGTGCAGCAGTGTGTTTTTTTTTATAGCTATAAAGCCCATTTGTACGCTCCAGGACACAAACTAGTGCTTCATAATAGTGAAGGCGAAGTGTCCTTAAGCACAATACTGACCACCTATTTGCTTTAGGGGCATTATTATGTAGTTGACCCTGATCTCTGTACTGAGGGCGAAAAGTTTGTCTGTAGAGAAGCTTTTACTTCGACTGATGAAAGGAAAAGAGAATGCATTCAATGGTACTGGTAGAGGCTAAAGCAGTCAGCTTCTCAGTATAAATCCAGGTCATCTTCCTCACTTTTTAAGCAACACTACCATCTGCTGTCATCATAGTGAGAGCACATCTTATTTAATTTATTGTCAAGAATTAACTTGCCATTTTAATTTGCATGGTTTATAATGGCCTGGTAAACACAAGTGCACATTCAGTTTCTTAATCTACATGAATCCTCTTGTTCACTGCCCACCGCCTCTCCAGCAGGTCAGGATAAGGGCTCTCAGTGATCCCTTAGAGCTCTGTATTTGTTACCACTGTATTCACATTTTTTTTCATATTCTTATTTTATATTTTGTAGTTAATTATCATAACATAATGAGAATGAACATTGAATGTACACAACCATGTAGAACAAATGTAAAGACAACATTATGTGGAATCCATATTTCTCTGTTTAATACTTGATAACTCTGTCACACTAAAGCACTCCATAAGAGTGACAGGTACAGTCCTGTTACTGAGACATTAAGTCTAAACCAGACTCCATCATTGCTTGTCTTCCAGCTGTTGGCTATGTGAACTGAACACATCCTCCTACCAGTGGAAACTAACTCTTCAGCTGGTTTACAACCTTGTGATGTTGCCCATATTCCTGCTTCCTGAATTTGAACAATACTTCATTGGAAGTGTGATAGGAAGGAGACAAACTACTCACATACCCATACGTACACTAAAAGATTGTTGTTTATTGTAAATAATACATTATTGTTCTTATTGGTAACAAATGTGTCCTTTCTTAAAGCTATTATGATGTTATAGGTGTGGGATAAAATCCCTGTTCTTTGTAAAAATACAGTTCAGCAAAACCTAGTTGACGTCTTTCAAAGTTTTGATTCCTGTTTGTTAGTGTTCCTCTGCTGTGGTCCATTAAGCAACAATGTCTGTTCAACTGAAGGACCAAGACTGCAGATTTTGTCCCAAAACATGGCTAGTATGGACATAGTAAAAAATAACTGCAACCCTTTTAGTGCTCGTATGAGCAGGAACCTACCATTATTATATTAAGATACACTTGAAATAAACGTGAACATTCACCTCAGGTCTCTTTCAGTCTCTCTTTGTGGTGCTGAAACACTGAAATCCAGGCTCTGTGTCTCTCTCCGTGGTGCTGAAATATTCAAAACCATTCTTTGTTCCAAATCACTCCCTCATTTATCAATTAGCTATTCCCTACTCCTCATCGCATTTGGAAAACTTTTGCATCAGCATTGGTAGGTGTAGAGTCTAATAAGTGTAATCAACACATCTGTCAGTGCAGCTGTGTACCAAAGTATACCAAACATTATATAGTTATATTCTGTATTTAATTCAACTTTATTATCAATATGTTTTAAACATTTAAAACACTGAATATGGTGATCCTCATGTCCAAAAGCACTGCTGGAGGGCCGAATGAGAATGCCATTAAGTAAAGTTGATGTTAATTCAGAATAATACTGACCCGTTAAATCATTTATTTTCTATATAAAATTAAGCATTACACTGTCACATGTTTGAGGCTGAGAGCTGTCAAACTAATTCAAGAATTACTTTCCATGTAAAAACATTTACAAGAAACAAAAGCATTAATTTGAATCACAAATAATTTGTTGTGTTGTTGGAAGAGAAAGCTTTGTGGTTGAAAGGTTTCCCAACATAACTAAACAACAAAGTTTGTTTAAATTCAAGCAGAAGGGACAGCAGAGAAGAAAAGAATAATGTTCTCTTATTATCTCCCTAAAACATGGAGGATGGGTTTCATAGCACATTTTGTTTGAAGTCCATTTTATAATTTGCAGAAAGAAACCCAGTACCAGCTTTGTGTATACAGAAATTTATTCAAAATATATACATATAATTTATATTGTGCAAGTAAAAATATCTCAGAGGCCTGTGTTCAGAAAGGCACTTTTACATGTTGCACCAGTTCAGAGAAGTTTTGTTCCAAAACACTTCAATTTTCCCCCTCCCTCTTATCATCACACAGGTCATTTCCCTCGGACTTTTACTTTCCTCCACCTTCTTTCTCATTTCCTCCTTCTTTTTCCTGGTTCTCTCTGGTTTTATAGTGCTCTTCTGGGAGGTCCCTTAGCTTCTCAGCAGCCTAAAATTTCAAGAACACAGCAGTGCCAAGCTTTTAGTTTTTTAGTTTTACAGACAAATGCAGGGACAGAGAGTGGATCCACTGCAATTCTGGTTTTCCATTATAATTTGTTAGAGGGTAAAAGGGTCAGCTTTTGATGATGGGCATTCGATGGCTTGGGATGAAACAAATTCCCCTAACATCATATCTAAAATTGAAATCAGTGGAATTAAGACAAGAATAACACAAAATTAAGAGAGAACCCCATACTCCAGGTCACAAGTTTAATCTCTAAAGCTGCTATTTAAGGTATGACTTACATCTCACCTGCTCCCTTCCTGCAAAAAGCACTGGATAAACACACAACTTGATGCATGATATGTGACTGAAGTGTTAACAGCCTCAACTGAGACGGAACGTATGGAAGAAACAGTAAATTAAACTTGATATAAGTATGTATTTATTTATAATATGTACTGTATATTGCAGAGTCAGTCACATGTGTATGTTACATTACTCACCTGTTCAGGGGTCAGGTCCCTTTGCTCCTGAGCGAGCATCTCATACCCCACCATGAACTTCTTAACTGTAGCTGAACGTAGCAGAGGAGGGTAGTAGTGAGCGTGCAGCTGCCAGTGAGAGTTGTCTTCCTTTAAGTGGGGGCCGGTCGGGGCTCCTGAATAAAGAGAGGAAGACATTAGACTGGAGACACAAACCCAGAGGCTTTGTTCACACCGCTGGCTGGCTGGCAAAGATTATTCAGATGGGTTTTGGGTTTTCTAACCCTTAACCACGCCTCTCAACCTCCGGGATGATCTGAGCTGCTCCATCGTCACATCATACATGTTTGATACTTCCAGGTTACAGCTGACAGGACACCAGGCATGTTTCTGGTCAACTGTTTAATAAACTGCAGGTAACCATGGAAACAATACATCTCCTTCGTGCAGTTGTATGCTGTGATGTTAAAGTCTCACTGGTGAAGTGAACCAAAACAAAAGTTAAATACAGACAACAAACAAGGGAAAAGCATAACGCTTGTGGTAAGTGGCCATGGTAAAAACTAAATTAAATACTTTGATATACTATACTTCTGATATATAAAATAAAGGATTTGGTGGAGGATTTGCCAATGCGTAGTTCAGTTTGTATACACCTTGTTGTGTATTATCTGTTAAATAGGGTTCAACTGGATGTACAAACCAACTAACACAGAGTTTCTAACTCAAGGGTCTGAGGACTGAGAGAATGTTGTATGTGATACAGAATATAAAACCCTCAGATTTTAGACTGGCACCAACAGGGCAACAGTGCCAAAATCCCCCAGAGGTATTCAACTGGATTTAAATTTGGTGATTTATGAAGTCACTTTCATACTCATCAAACCATCCAGAGACCTGGATGGGATCTGCATTCATCTTGTTTATTTGCTCTTTTATTCAGTTTTTTTTTAACTTGACAAAACTACTCCATAATTTCAATGCCAATTACTGCATAAAATCCATTATTATTCAAGTCTCTAAATCCTCTAAAGAGGATGATTACTGTACCAAAGATAAATTTTCAGTGGTTTGTGACTGTACTTAACATTAAATACCTTCTTTGTTGCCTGTGTTGCTTTCTGATCTTAGTAGAAGGTAATGAGGTGATTAGAAGTAGAAGCAGAAACATATCTCTCTTAAAAAACACAAAAGGAATTAAAACAAATTGATCCCTGGAGACATTGTATTCACAATAAGAGCTTTTCCTTTAGAGTCAGTCCCCCGACAATGGGGGTTGATCTGACACAGATAGAGACGACAGGAGGTCGACATAAAGGGAACTAATGGGTGGTAAAAGAAAAAAGGAAGAACAAAGAAAAGAGTGAACAGTCCAGATAAGAAATGAATAGAGACGGAAGCTCCTATTAGTAGACAATTACCCAATTTTAAACAGTGGGTTGGTTTGTTCTGCTGCGTGTGTGTGAGCATATAAGAGAGGGCATATTAACACAGACTCGCAGATATTCCTGGATAAGGGACTACCAATTATAAGTGTTTATGTTATGTATTGTAATTAATGCTTTAGTGTGTAGCCCTACTACATCTGTATCCTTTCCTGTCTGCCTTTCTCTGTGTCCTAGTCTGTCATCCAGCCAGTTAATACAGTCTGTAATATGTTGTGTGTTTTCCCCCCGAAGGAATAAGCAGGTAGCTTTATCTTATCCATAATTTCCCAGGTGACTCAAATACCATCCAACCACTTCTATCTCCACACTGCCACTAATAAGCCAAGCCCTAAATAAAAAGCTGGCTGATTCCAAATGAGCTCAAATAAAGCACAAACACAGATGGGGAGATAACGCAGCTCATTATGTGGGACAGGTCTGTGTGCGCGTGCATGTGGATGAGAGCGTTTCCAAAAGAGTTTCCAAAATTAGGTGGTCAGTGTGTGTGCAGTATGCCTATGTGTGTATGTGTGACACACACACTGAGTGTTAGCGCGCTACAGCAGATCAATTATAATCTCAGCAGTCTCTTTTCCCTTAATCCCCCTTGATGAAGTTAAAATAACACCATTATTTTGGGAGCTGAAAGTTCTTCTGCCAATTAAAAAACAGTTGGAAGTGTTCTATCAACACCAGGAAGAGCAATGGAAAACACAGCTGATTCATGAGCGGTGCAGCTTATTGCTTTTAACATTTGATACCAAAGCTAATATTAACATTGCTGCTTCTCTTTCTTGGTCTCTGTCTCTTCCTTCTATCTCTCTCTTCTTATGGCATCCTCTTATTCATCTCGGTCCAGCATCTCTCATTCTCTTGACACTTTCCTCTCGCTCTTTTCACTGTTTTAAATAACGAGAAACAGGAAGGTGCTAAAGAATGTGATATTTCACAGATATTTAGGCAGGTTGTGTGAAAAAGGTAATGTGAGGAATATTACCCCATCGTGTGTGTTAATGGAGATACTATGAAGGCTTCATTTTGTTGTATTAGTTGGTTGTTTTAAGAGAATTTTCACTTTCTCTTTACCTCTAAAGAGTTTACCTCTTTGATCTTTTTCCAAAAAGGCAGGAGGAAAATGGGGGAAAACATCTGCCACTCAATATAAGCGAACCTACTAACTACCTGCCAATGACCTTCAACATATTGCTGTAACATGACCTTTTGAGTTTTAGTCACTATCTAAGAAATAAAACAGACTCGAAGATTAAAGGCAAAATTTAACACAAGATCTGTAGGAGCCTGCACCACAGGCAACTTTGGACTGAGATTTTACTTCAAAGATTTGATATCAGATAAAATAAGAAGAAAGTGAGCCGATAGCTGTGTCCTCTCGTGCCCTCTGTCCTTTTCTCCACACGTTTGAGTGTATCATCTCTCTCTTTTTATAAACCATCTTTCATGTGGGCTGCCTTGCTTTGAACCTAAAAAACCTAAAAAAAAAAAATTTAAAAAAAACCCAGACATGTGGAGGTGATAAGTGTTCACAAAGCTGTAGTGCTTCAATCTCTGAAATGGATCTAAGACGATATAATTATGGCTTAAAAACTGTGTCTTCAATATATTCAATTTGATTAGTTACTTTCTGACAGTGGAGCTGTAGACTAAATTCAACGAGAATCATTTTGACTTTGTCGTTAGTTCTCGTTAGTCAGACTAGACACCTCATTTATGGTAGATGAAAGAGTCACAAAAAGTCCATCATTTGGAATTGGAGGAGTAAAAATGTAAGGCAAAACAACAGAAGTAAATCAAGTCAAAGACATTAAAATGATCAGCTCTTGGGGTGAAAGAGGTTTCCAGCCTGATTAAGTAATTCCACAAGACTATTTATTAGGTTTCCCCATTAATATTTTATTTTTGTTGGCCTATGTTGTTATAATAATATATTAATATTAATATAATAGTTATAATAAGTTATTTAAGTTCTCTAAATTAATCAAAAACTAGACAAACCCCCTGAATCTACCGCCATGCTAGCGGCTCTGTGAGGCTGTACATAGGGACAGCTGTGCTTTGAGCTAAAAGTGAACTCTGGCTAGCTAACATGCTCAAAATGACAACGCTAACAAGATTATGTTTAACAGGTATAATGTATACTATGTTCACCATCTCAGTTCAGACAATAGCATGCTAAAATTTGCTAATTGGAGGTGATGGAAATTAGTTTTGCAGGTATTTGGTCATTAACAACAAATTAAAATGTTTACCTGACGATGGTGCTAGATGAGGAGTCAGCAACCTTTACTAACAAAAGAGCCAAAGTCTGGCTAAAAAAATCAGTCCAATTTCTGTGCTCAAGTAGAATTTTAAACCAGATGTCAGTCAGAGAAAACTGTCCTGTATGCTTACAAGTTGTCTTTGGTAGTGCATCTAGAGCCATACCGTGGTGTTGATATTCACAGATTAATGCATTCTTATCCAGAATGCTGTACAGTCAGTGAGCAGTGAGGTTTTATCTCTCAGCAGGACACAACTGCTGCAGGGATTGAACCTGCAACCTTTAGCTTTTACAAGGATCACTCTGACCGCTCAGCCGTGATGACACTGCTCTCCTCTGTCACACATCACTCATCGCATCACTGCTTTCTGCTAACCTTTCTTCCAGTTTGAACCCACAGCAAGGTGTTTCTCTGATATTGCTCACAATAATAAGTATTTCCCTCAGAGTCACAAGAACAACTGTTTTCGCGGCTGTTGCCGGCATCAGAATGCTAGACAAAGTTAACAACTAGCTACTGAGCATACAGGAGCATTTACCAGTTAAAGAGCCAGATAGTTCACCCAGCTGGTAGAGACTAAAACAAAGCTAAAAGAAGAGTAAATACTGGAATAATAATGAACATGTGGAGAGATTCCAAAAGGATTCTAATGTGTAAATAAGCCATTAAACACTACTGAAAACTTGTTAACCAACTTTATGAGGTGATAATATGCAAATATTGTGTTTACAGCTTGTTACATTGCCCCAAGTGGCCAAAAGAAAATCAGTGAATGCATAAGACATGTTGCTTTCTCTTTTAAGTATGGAGGGCCCCCGCTACCATGCTTTTCAAAACAAGACAAGACAATACAGTGTTTCTGTCTCCCCAAGCTGCTTTAACTGATGGTAAAAGCATGAGTGATCTTTACCTATGAGAACTCCTGCTTTACTTGGTGGAGATCTAAGAGACAACACATCAAGCTGATGTGTCTTGAGTGTGCATAGAAGTGGTAAATAAGTGGATAACATCAAAGCTGAGAGTTTCTCGTTACAGCTGAGATGACTTAAAATGCAACAAGAGTTATCTAACCTGTAGGGAATGCGCAACACACCTTCACTTGCATACATCTTGGTGGGAGGGTGGCGGGGCATGAGCTAATGTGAAATTATATTCGAGAGGAAACTGATTTAGCATCCAATCGTGAAAACAAGATGATGTTGGAAGGGGTGCAGAGAACCACCTTTCATTGAAAAATGATATCGATCTGACACAGCGCAACAGCACACATTGGCAGCACAACACAGAGTGAATGCTGACTTCAAGGAGCAAGGGAAGGGAGGAGAAGAGGGAGGATAAAGAAAATGTAGAAAGAGAGTGAGAAGGGTGAAGAGAAAAACTTGAAGAAAGGTGTGAAAGCATTTTAATGCATCTCTTCCCTCTTTATCGCCTATTTTGGTACAACACTAGAAGTCTGACTGTGAAAAGACTCTACTTCACATATTTCACGACTGGCTTTTGCAGATAATGACACAGTTGAGCCCGCTGCCTTCAGACTGCGAGAGGAGCCTGTTCACGTATCAAACGGACTACGTGAAGAAGTTTACAGCCTGCCTGATATGTGAACAGCCTCCAGTTTGTAGCAGTATTTGTGTCATAATCCGCCAATCCATCCACAGATGTTCATGTATTTAGATTCAAATTATCTTTAATCTTTCCCACCATCTGTCCCTCTTTCCTACTGTCACTCTGCAAAAGACACTTTAAAAAGGTTATAGCAGTAGAGTAACCCCTAACCAAAACTTTTTCTTTTTAACTCTCCCAGTTTTTGTCTTACCGTGCCAGCCCATGGAGTAGGGGAAAGAGATTTCAAACAGATTGTCATACTTGGTCAGCAGGCGCTTCATAATGTCAGCCAAACCTGATAGACAGACAGAAGAGAGGAAGATACAGTGAGAAAACAGGGAGCAAGGTGGGCAGGGGGGAGAAAGAAGACATTTGTTAGTGAGTATTGTTAATAATGAATGACACGAGGAAGGGGATTTGAATCGAGAGCATGTAAGACTAAAAACAAAAAAAAAGGAACAGAAAACTGAGAGGGGGATGTACAACTAAAAAAGGCTGTAAATTGAAAAGAAGATAAAAGTTTTATTATCTTGAGGGAAAATTAAATATAAAAGAAATGCCTGACATGAGGAATAAGCCAGACAAACCAGAGACAGAAAAACAAAGCGTATAGTTACATAAACACACACACACACACACACACAAACAAGTTTCTTTTTATTCACAAACCCTGGACAGATCACACTGGGACAAATGGTAAAAGGAGCAATGACAGTAAAGTGGTTTGATGTAAAGCTGCATTCAAGATTCATTCAAAACACCTCTTCCTGTTCCATTTCTGTCATAAAACTGGCACAGATAGTTTTCAGAAGTTACCTGTGTTTTTTTTATATACATGTCCCCGTCATACATAAACAATTTTACCCATATTCTGTTAATACACTCTTGATTGTTCTAAACGGAATCCGAACATCAGATGCTAGCCTAAAAAAATCCACCTGTTGAGTTGACTGGAGGCACCGAATCAGAAGTTTGTATAGACGCCAAAACCTTTATCCTTTTCATTGCATCTACCGACTGCGGGAGTTAAATTTGGTGTGTTATTCTGGCTCCTATATTCAGTGTGAGCAGTGGTAATGGGCTGTGTCTCAGCAGACACCTATCCCACTGATCCTTTTTACCTATGTGCCTTGGGCTTCACACCTTCATCACACACGAGCTCAATCAGCTGAACAGACTCTCGACTGTCAACCGAAGTCGTCTGGAAGAGCCCTCGGTTGATTTACAGATGCAGCGGTGTTTGTCCTTGAGAGGGAATGGTAGGTAATGTCACCAGATCAACTCGATCTTAAGAAAATTCATTCCCTGACAACAACATCTGCTAGAGTCATTTAAACACCATAATGTTAGGATAAAAAAGAACGTAAACAACTTTAAATGACCATTTTATTCAACTATCACTGAAGCATTTCATTGTTTTATAACAGTATAATATTGGGAGGGTTGACAAGAAGATAATACATGCAACCACTATAAACTCGAATGTAGCACCTTTAATTAGCATTAGTTAGCTATGAAGACAGTCTTTATCATCCATTTATAATTAACATCCAATAATTCAAACTCTGGCCTATATTGGAAGAAGGTGACAGAAAATGGGTGCATTAGAGAGGCAAATCTCCACAATATTCATTTATAGACAATAATAGATAAGTTAGATTCAGTTTTGGATTAATTTGAGTCGTTCTTGGATGTAATTAATTCTTCATTTAAATAGCATCAGCAAGTTGATCTGGAATCACCCTAACACCACTCCATGCACCATGCAAGGTTCATGGAGGGTGTAAAATTAAAAGTTTCCTCCCCCATGTGCTGTGAATGAACATGGAAGATCATGAGACACACACACACATGCACACAGGAGGCAACTTGGCAGGGAATCAAACCTACAGGTGCCCCACTGAGCCGCCGAGTCACCTTAAATTAGTCCTAATTGCCTTAACACTCTCTCAGTCACTCACTCTGCCAGTATCTTCTATCACTTTCTCTCTCACACACACACACACACACACCACCACACAACACACACACACACTATCACAGACACACAGACACCACAGACACACAGACACTCACACACACAGACTCACCCTCCCTCTCCCCTGTTGTCAGGTCAGTGATTCTAAGGACATGTCGTCGTGGTAACAACAGTGTCTGGTAGGGCCACGTTGCCCAATATGGAACCACTGCCAGCCAATCAGAATTCTCCACCACTACACGCTCCTGGAGAAGAGACAAAATGAAAAAGTTGTTGAATGTGCAGGGAAGCAATATTATGTATGTAGGTTTTATGCTTAACTAGGATTTGTTTTTCTAGTCTAAAACACTAATAGAAAGCTGAAAGGAAAGTAGGAAAAAGTGGAAGAACATAATTCCCAATCACATGGCATTTGAAATAATGCAAATTACAAATACAGCCTCATAACCTAACCTGGTGCAACTGTTGGGGTTCATTCTATTTGTTTCAACAGGTATAGTAAATGGACTGTACTTATATATAGCGCCTTTCTAGTCTTTCAACCACTCAATGCGCTGTACACTACATGCCACACTCACCCATCCACACACATTCATACACTGATGTCAGTGGCTGCCATGCAAGGTGCCAACTAAAAGTAATCATCCATATACATTCATACACCGATGCACATCATCGGGAGCAATTTGGGGTTCAGTATCTTGCTCAAGGACACTTCAAAATGGAGCGGGAGGAGCCAGGGATCGAGCTGCCGACACGCTGTACCTCTGAGCCACAGCCGCCCCATACATTTAAAAAAATAATAATAATATCATTGGAAATATCCAATAACTTTTTTATCTGGTCAAAATGTACTTTTCCAGGAGGTGTAGCAGCATCATTTCCCTGGTCTATGCTGCACTAAAAAGTAGATTAGGTGCTTATTAAACATGGCAGTACATTACCCAGTAGGAGCAATGAACGCATATCAGGTGTTGAGTTGAAGGGATATGCGAAAAGATTTCTGTGGAGCAACAGTACGACTCAGAAGAACTACGATGGCAAAGGCAAACCAGATATTCCCCTGATATAATTAAAATGTATCATATTTGTTTGTTTGATAATTTGGTACAATCAATAGGAGTAATTAGAATTTCTTCAATTTCTTCAATTAGAAAGGACTGCTGGTCTCAGAACCAACTACTACTATATGACTTCTTATTTCATCTTTTCTCATTTTAGTTCGAGTTTGATTTTGTTCTTCCTTTTCGGTTGTTGTGTGTTTTTCTCTCTCTTCATACCTGCTATTTTTTCTGACATCCTTTCAGCAAAGATCTCTCACACTTCCTATGCTATGAATGTGTCTCTGCTTGTTTGTTCTGATATTAATATGTGCGTGTTAGTGATAGATATCCTAAAATAGACAGAGCGAGCTGTTTGTTGCAGGTAATTATCATATGGTGCTGCGAACTGTGCTGTTTTAAAGCTGAATGTTGATTTAACATACTGATGAAATGGCCGTGCTTCCCAGACATTTTCCCACATACTTAATGATGTGAATAATGAACACACTTATATAAATAAATAAAAGACAGTAACAAACTCATGAAATTGATCAAACTGCTTAGGCTCGTTAAGTCACCTCACACCATGCATTCAGACCATAAGGACATGAATAAAAACAGGGAATACTAAAGAAAATACAGAGAAAAGCTTGACTGAGCACGGCGCTCTTACTTTATAACAAACTGAGTTCAAAATGGTGATAAAACAAGTCAGCCAGGATTGGCTGTTTGCAGCAAGAAGCCCAATTATCATAAACTGTTTAAATGCAGAATGTGTCAGAAGCTGAGATTTAACAAGCTGATGAGTGGGCACAAACACGACCTGACCTTGGTATTACAATCCATCAGAAATAGATTAGCTCAGCGTGTGTGTGCAGGTGTGTGTGTGCTAAACAGCAGCAGTAAGAATCTGGTGGAAGTTAGCTTCACATTAATCTCAAAACAACACAGACAATCTCTCACTCTGATGTTTTTCTTTGCATTGGATTTCCAGTAACGGCATGTTAACATATATTTCTTAACACAACTCAGTCTGATCACAAACTGGATTGGAAATGCCGATGTGTAAAGACCTCAGCATAAACAACCATTTGCAGCAGGGTCGATGGTCAGGACAGCGTAGTTCTTAAAGCTGTACTAATTGATTTTTGGCCACTTGGGGGCAGAAGAACATCACAGCAAGCTGAAAAACACACAGCCCTGAAAGACTGTGACCTTATAAAGTAGCTATGGCCAAGACAAGACATTGGCAAACAACAGCCTGTTAACACAGACAGCAGACAGAAAGGAACACTGGCATTCATGTGTCAAATATGTACTTTTCTTTTAGCTCTGGTCTGGTCTCTAGTTTGGATTAATAAAAAATAAAAAATAAAATAATATATATATATTATGTTCATCAGCTAGTTGCTAACTTTCTTTTTCTGCTGTTTGGTGCTGGGCAGGTAGTGTACAGTGGATTTAGCAAAGCTGAAAACAACAATACAGAAAATGTGCCTTAAACCAAAACAATGAGCTAAAAGAGGCTAAAGCTCCATAGAGCTACAGAGTTACTCAATACTTCTCTGTTTTTCACTGCTAGCAGCTACATCTGAGTCATAGCTAAAGACCCTACACATGTAACATCATTTGTGCAGTGTTTATTGCGTTATTGCATTTATTTATTGCGTTTATACAGTATGTATATGTTGTGCTGTTCTGTATGAATAGTATGGAAACTGATTCAAGAAAACAAAAACAAAAAACAACTAAAACTGATTATCAGTTACCAGACGCCAAAGCAAACACAAAGTGTAAGGGCATCCTAGGCCGTAAATCTCCCCGAGGTTTGAACAAACTTGTCCAGGCATTAATGCATAATTAAGGGATCTGCAGGGGATGCTATGGTGTTTAATAACTGTGGAGGAAAACACAGACTAATATAACAAGATCCCAAAGTGTTCAGTTCTCTTAATGAACTGTACTTGCAGTATCGGATTCGACGACCTGGTGCAATAACACTAACTTTACATATTATATTCTTACCTATATACTTCTCTAAAACTATTTTTGTCTATTTTCCTGCTTCAATCTTCCTTCGCAACCCTCCTCACACTGTTGTTCTCCACTGTTTGCTCCCTTTAACATGATTACAAAGGTGCGTAATGAAGATGGAAAAATAAGAGAGAACCGAGGGATTTGGAGAGGAGGAGCAGAGTGAAGAGAGAGAAAGCAAGGGAGAGAGACAGAGAGAGGACATTGAGCATGTCCTAAAACAGACACCTCATACACTGCAAATCCCAGCGAGCATTATTCAATTAGCTTAGAAAGTTTTTGTTTCAAAGTCAAGAGTGTCGCCAAGGACCCGAACCCCAATTCAAACTCCTCCAAACACTGCAGTGTGCCAATTTACGGTCCTAACCCCGGCTCGGAGCGACAGGCGCAAAAAAGACACACACATACACACA